ACGCAAAAGGGGAATACATTTCTCCTGGTCGATGTGGAATATTTCTCCCGGTGGCCAATGGCTTGGCCACTACCAGACCAATCTGCTGCATTCATTGCCGACACTTTTTTACATGGCTACATGATGGACAAGGGAGCGCCTGAGCAGCTTCTCACGGATTTTCTTCTCACAATTTTTCGTCGACGCTGCTGCCTGAGGTGTGCGATGCTCTGAGCACCAAAAAGACACTTTCACCCAGTTGTCCTCTGAATCATTCAGATGTTCATTGGCAAACTTCAGACGGGCATGTATATGTGCATTCTTGAGCAGGGGGACCTTGCGGGCGCTGCAGGATTTCAGTCCTTCACGGCGTAGTGTGTTACCAATTGTTTTCTTGGTGACTATGGTCCCAGCTGCCTTGAGATCATTGACAAGATCCTCCCGTGTAATTCTGGGCTGATTCCTCACCGTTCTCATGATCATTGCAACTCCACGAGGTGAGATCTTGCATGGAGTCCCAGGCCGAGGGAGATTGACAGTTCTTTTGTGTTTCTTCCATTTGCGAATAATCGCACCAACTGTTGTCACCTTACTCTTAGTTTTTTCGGTAAAGTCACGTTGAAGGGAAACAACAAAATAATAAAATATATATATATAAAACAATAAAAAAAATTCTCACGACGTTTCGACCATAACTCAAACGGTCGTCTTCAGGTGTGTTGGTTTGCATAAATTTATTTTTAAACGGCGCATTTATTTATTTATAAAAACGTTAGCGCCACGCGCAACGATTTGGCAGTTTATTTAGGACTAGTCCATCTATATTCTGAAAAGAGGAGGGGGGAGAAGAAATTTGTTTTTTATAATGTATGCTGTCTGAAAGCCACTGTAAGCGTGAACAATCAATTAAGACCTGAAATGGTTTATCACATCTTTCCAATGATTGCTAAGATAGAATCCATCTTCTCGGTTGAAATTGTCTCTGTGCTTGTATATGTGGATAGCCTCATGAACGAATCTCTCATGGAAGCCAGATGGCTTACAAAGAACCTCTGTCTTGGAAAAGTCAATGGCATATGAGCCTACTGAATTAGAACAATGATCTGCCACGGCCGAGGTGTTGGTCCTACCGTGTTTAAGGTCTGCTTTGTGTTCACGAATGCGGTCCGAGACATGGCGTTTGGTTTCTCCAATGTAACTACTACCATAGAGGCAACTTAGTTTGTAGACACCAGGGTATTGTATGTTCGGAATCACATCTTTTACAGACGGAACCAGATCACGGATTTTATGTAATGTGTTGAAACGGACCTGGATCTTGTGTTTATTCAAGATTTTGGAGATCTTTTTTGTGATCCCCGCAATGTAGGGTAAAGTGATGGTTTTGAAAGGCTCCTCAAGAGGGTTCTTCTTCATGGTTTGAGTGATAGCTTTGCGGATTGTATAGTCGGAGTAACCATTAGCCTTAAGAGCTTGGTGTACATGCTTGAGTTCACTGCTTATGTGTTCCTGGTCGGATATGCATTGGGCTCTATGATACTGAGTCTTGATGAGAGAATTCTTCTGTGATGGATGGTGGTGGGAATCCGGTTTCAGATAAGCATCTGTATGGGTAGCTTTCCTGTAGACAGAGTGGCTCATTGAACCATCAGGTCTCTTTTTAATTAGGACATCCAAAAAAGGTATCTTGCCATCTATTTCGACTTCCATGGTAAATCTGATGGCTGGGTGTATGGAATTGATGTGGTCGAAGAATTGGTCTAGAGTAGGTCGGCCATGTGGCCAGATGACAAAAGTGTCATCCACATACCTCTTCCATAAGGTTGGGCACAGAGTGGCAGTCTGGATGGCGTCAGTCTCAAATTTCTCCATGAAAATGTTAGCTATAACTGGAGAAAGGGGGGAGCCCATTGGGGTGTCCTCAGTTTGTTTGTAGAAAGTTCCATTCCAAGTGAAGTATGTATTGGTTAAACAGTGTCTCACCAGGGGGGGTACCTCAGTGTTTAGTCTTTGATGAACCAATAAATAAATGCGCCGTTTAAAAATAAATTTATGCAAACCAACACACCTGAAGACGACCGTTTGAGTTATGGTCGAAACGTCGTGAGAATTTTTTATTGTTTTATATATATTTTATTATTTTGTTGTTTCCCTTCAACGTGACTTTACCAAAAAAACTAAGAGTATGAATTACTGCAGTCACGAAAGCTTTAAATCAAAATGTTGTCACCTTCTCACTAAGCTGCTTGGCAATGGTCTTGTAGCCCATTCCAGCCTTGTGTAGGTCTACAATCTTGTCCCTGACATCCTTGGAGAGCTCTTTGGTCTTGGCCATGGTGGAGAGTTTGGAATCTGATTGATTGATTGCTTCTCTGGACAGGTGTCTTTTATACAGGTAACAAGCTGAGATTAGGAGCACTCCCTTTAAGAGTGTGCTCATAAATCTCAGCTCGTTACCTGTCTAAAAAGACACCTGGGAGCCAGAAATCTTTCTCATTGAGAGAGGGTCAAATACTTATTTCCCTCATTAAAATGCAAATCAATTTATAACATTTTTGACATGCGTTTTTCTGGATTTTTTTGTTGTCATTCTGTCTCTCACTGTTCAAATAAACCTACCATTAAAATTATAGACTGACCATTTCTTTGTCAGTGGGCAAACGTACAAAATCAGCAGGGGATCAAATACTTTTTTCCCTCACTTTATCAGAGCAGGTTGGCTGATTTTCCACAAGTACGTGTGGTTAATGCAGACTCGATTCCTTGCAAAAGGTATATTTTCGTGTTTTATTGCCAGAAAAGTGGAAAACGTATTCATATTTATCATATGTGTGCATGTGTAGTGGAGTACGAAGGTGCGTGGTGGAAGCGACGTGATTGCATGATCACACAGACAGTACGGGTTATCTTGGGTCAGCCTGTAGCGAAGTCAAAAATAGTATGGGTCATGGTAGGACAGCCAGGTGCAAGGGCTGGGATGATGAGGTAACGGTTGGGCCAATTAAGCCAGAGGAACAGCAACGGCGGTGATTGGCTGGGGCTGTTGTCAAGGGCGAGGAGACGTCGAGATGTCTGGAGAAAGACAGGTGTTTGAGGACGCGAAGCGTGGGGAGGCAGGCGGGCCAATTAATTAGGGGTAATGAGAATGGGGATAAATTGGGGGAGACACACAGAGAGCGGGGAGTTGGAGTTGGGAGCTGGACGAGGCAAGACGTGGAGTTGGGAGAGCTTGGAGTCAACAGGGGGAATTGAAGTGTGGAGAGTTGAGAGACAGAGTTTGGAAGACAGAGTTGAGAGACAGAGTTTGGAAGGAGAGAGCATAGCGATAGCGAAGCTGAACAAAGACGAAGTAGTTAGCAGTGGAGTGAGCATAGCGAAGCTGAACAAAGACGAAGTAGTTAGCAGTGGAGTGAGCATAGCGAAGCTGAACAAAGACGAAGTAGTTAGCAGTGGAGTGAGCGTAGCGATAGCGCAGCTGAACAAAGACGAAGTAGTTAGCAGTGGAGAGAAAGCGTAGCGATAGCGGAGCTGGAGACAAGAATAGTCAGTGGGGAGAGAGCGTAGTGATAGCGGAGCTGAAGACGCTGTGTGCAAAGTCGCTGAGTGCGACGACGCTGTGTGCGAAGACGCTGTGTGCGGAGTTGCTGAGCGCGGAGTTGCTGAGCGCGGAGTCGTTGAGTGCGGAGTCGCTGAGTGCGAAGCAAGCGAGGTGATCGTGGGGAGTGGAGAGACAAAGGTGGCGAGCGAGTCGAGTGAAGCACGGCGAGCGAGCCGTGGCAACCTGGATATTGTGGAATGTGGAGGACATGAGAATTGTAAATAAAGCGGCGTTCGAAGAAAGACTGAAGTTGTCCGAGTAAAATAGAACACTATACATGTATGATTGGATGTGTTTACGTGTATTTGTGCCTATGTGGTTCTAACACGGCAATTCGCATCCAGTCACCCGAGTTCAGTTCTTGGCCATACCTAGCAGTAGCAGCGGCAGAACTTTCCCTGAGCCTCTCTAACCGTAGGGATCTCGTGCAGGGGGTGAATGGCTGCAATCCGTCACATCGAATGCACGGCCCCATGGCTGGACCACTGTGAAAATGGTGGCCATCACTAAATGGCAAAATTGAAGTGCTGAACACAGCCATCATACTTCGGAGGCCAATATCAACCAAGGACTGGTCTCACATAGATACTTGATGTGTGCATTTGGCTTCAGAAAGCCATCAATCCTTCATATTTTACATCATTTAGGACAATGAGAAGCACTTTATAGAAAGTCAATGACTACAAGGCAGATAGCCCGTGGCCACTTCCATGGAAATATGGAATTTCTACTCTTGCCAATGGAAATAAGAGCGGCTTCCCAAATTAATAGTTCGAACAGGTGGGCTTCTGTTGTGATGATCCACGAAAGACATTTGCAACCAGGACAAACTAGATTGTAGATATATCTATAGGCCGGAACTATCATATAAAAGATATCGCAAACACATGCTGGCTACATTTGCATAGAGGCGAGCTGGGCATTGATGTCACTGGCGGAAGCAAAGTTAATTTGCATACGCAGCACCGATTGTCATTCAGATTATACACGTTCAATAAATGCATTTCATCGGCCAAGCTGTAGTGAAGCAGCAGTGCAGCTGCACAGAATATTGAGCAGAACCACGAGGGTTTACTATAGTCAGGGGTAGGCAACCAAAATAACGAGCGAATGTTTTTTATTCGGTAAAAAAAACCCAACTCAATATTTTAAAAAGTCGTAATGCAGTGGTGGTGAATACGAGGCGGTGATGGTCCTTTAATAAATAAAGTCACCAAGCAGGTTGCCGACCCCGAGGCTCGGTGTGCCTGTCAATTTCTGCAGATGCTCCCACATCTCACCTTATTACATAAGGCAAAATGCATTCTTAATCTCACGTACATTCCATTACATTTAAAGCACGTTAAAGCATTGCACTGTGCATGTAAATTCAACCTATGCTAATTACGGTATATATTTTTTTTCGATGTGAGAAAATAAATCAGGTAACCCGGAGGAAACTCGCGTAGAACACAGACCCTACAAGTGCCACACAAGAAGGCAAGGAATCAAACCCAGGTCCTGCTGTCAGGCACAAATGTTAACACCGTGCCAAGTTGTCACCCAAACGGGGGGCGGGTATCAAGCACGCATCTTCAGGGGGCATGACTGCACTCCTGCATGACACGACTCACTGTTCTGGTTGAGCAAGTTACCGTTGAACATATTCGCTGCCACTTCCAGGTGAAAAAAACAAATGTGCATCGCTGTAGACAAAAGGGTGCATGCCCTCTGCCAGTCTTGCCTGAACCTGCCGAAACCTGTGGCTTCCTTCCCCGTCACCTGCCGCTCCTCGCGGAGTTGTGGAGGAGGGGGTGGGGGTTATTAAGGAGCCACCGTCTCGTATTCCCCACGTGGCTTTGCGGCTCTTGGAATATTGAGGGTTTTTTTGTTACCAAATACGAAGCAAATTGGCTCGATTTGTTATTTTGATTGTCTACCACTGCCTTAGGCCCTCGTGTGTTGTAGGCCCTCGTGTTTTGTAGGCCCTCCCTTAGGCCCTCCATTCCACATTGCAGTGACAGCTGAGCGACAGTACCGCGGCCATCCGAACGTTTTTTTTGTTATCTTTGAATTATGATGACATCAGTCACGACTTAGCTAAAGCTATGGAGAGAAAAAATATGTATTGTTTGAAGAAATGAGTGGCAGCGAGTGATTTCTCTTTGATGGATTTGCCCATTTCCACAAGCTCAACGGAGGCCTACCTACTCGCCATCAACACAGCAGGGCCGGAATCAACCGCTTGGTTTAGGGAATTTGCATCCGCTGAATAAAATAAACTTGAATATCTTGAACGGGTTAACCTATAACATTCACCGGGGTTACCAAAGCAACGTCAGCTCAAATTCGTTGTCCATGACAAAGCGGCCTCAATCGTGGACACGGAAGCCACCGGATTCTCTCACCGTCGAATGTCAACACCTGCAGCTTGGCAGGAAGCCCGCAAGGCACACCGAGTCAAATTGAAGCATTGCGTGGCCACATTCCTCACCGTGCTGATGCAGGGTGCTATAAATATAAAGGCCGTGCGACGTTCGTATCTGTGAGAGTGTGGCAGCATCGGTCGCGGCAGGCTTTGATGACGGACGTGATGTCGACCTCTCTTCATTACCTCGTTTTAGCCTCCTGTCTGCTATTTCAAGGTAATATTATAATTTTTGTGTTGCCGAACTAATTTGTTCATTCATCAATGAAGGTTATTAATCATACGTTAGCACGTCAAGGCGGTCCTTGGCATCGGAATATTTGGCATATTGTTATTGAAATAATGTTGTTTGAATTGTGGGCAGAAATTGAGTGTCCACCCGTAGAAAACCCCACAACGCGCGAGTGGTCCGCACAGATGGGTTCACGAATCCATTTGTCGTACTGTCCCCTGCTGGCCACCTCAGTGCAGTGACGGTTGCTGTGAGTCAGATTATCTGTCTCACAGATAATTATCTGTGATCATCTGTGAGACTCACAGATCATTTTAATTCACCAACAGCGGTCATCCCCAGCACTGCGTCACTGGCGCGTGGCACTTCGCCCGGTTTATTTGCTTTTCATCAACTTACAATAAGTAATATTTTTTTAAAACACGCTTTTGTGAAATGTACTCGTAATGGCATAACTCCACGACTCCAGGAAGTGGCCCCAAAGCTTGCCACAGCGTAAGGGAGACTGTGGCCAATTACAGCCAATATCAGTTGAGCGTGGACAATTAGACCCAAAGCGAAACATACCATATAAAAAATGTTTAAAAATATACTTTTTAATGATAGAATATAGTATTGCCATCAGTATGACATAAGTATACCAAGTTTTGAGTCGATACCACATTGGGAAGTGGGTTAAAATTGAGTTACAAGATTTGAGGATACAACAACGACAACAGAGTGAGTTAAAAGAAAGTGTGTAAAAAAACACTAACTTATTTCAACAACAAACTAAGTTGCCTCTGTGGTAGTAGTTACATTGGAGAAACCAAACGACATGTCTCGGACCGCATTCGTGAACACAAAGCAGACCTAAACACGGTAGGACCAACACCTCGGCCGTGGCAGATCACTGTTATAATTCAGTAGGCTCACATGACATTGACTTCTCCAAGACAGAGGTTATTTGCAAGCCATCTGGCTACCATGAGAGATTCGTTCATGAGGCTATCCACGTATACAAACACAGAGACAATTTCAACCGAGAAGATAGATTTGGGCTTAGTAATCATTGGAAGGATTTGATAAACCATTTTGAGTCTTAATTGATTGTTCACGCTTACAGTGGCTTTCAGACCGCATCCATTATTTTTGTCTCCACCCTTCTCTTTTCCGAACATCGATGGACTCGTCCATCTGAATAACTGCCAAATCGCTCTCCGTGGTGCTAACGTTAAAAAACCGCCACTTTTTTCAAATTTTCTTGCTGTGGTTTTCACACCTGATGATGATTGCTTGTGTTGCAGTCGAAACGTCGTGAGGATTTTATTGTTTTATATTTTTGTTACTGTATTGTTTCCCTTCTACGTGATTTTACTGAAAGAACCAAGAATATGAATCCCTGCAGTCACGAAAGCTTTAAATCAAAAGAGAAAAATGGTTACTTGATTCTGGTTTCTGTAAACATTACAAACGTGAAACTTTTTTGTCACGTAAATATGGTAATATAAGTGGTACCTTAACACTAGAGATGGTAACTTTTGAAGCAACTTGAGTCTAATGACACTACCTACCCAGAACCCCAAATGAAGACGATTCCATTGTTGGTGGTAAAGCAGAATTGTGATTAGATCAGAGATTTCACCGTCACCTGCGATGGAAAAAAACTAATTTGTTATCCACGATCTGTTTATCTGCACGTGTTGCATATTATAGTGACAATACGTAGTGGATTATGGCACTGTGTGTTGTTCCGTAGCCTGCGGATAGCAGATGAAGAGGCCATAGAGGGAGGGAAAAAAGTATTTGATCCCCTGATTTTGTACGTTTGCCCACTGACAAAGAAATGATCAGTCTATCATTTTAATGGTAGGTTTATTTGAACAGTGAGAGACAGAATAACAACAAAAAAATCCAGAAAAACGCATGTCAAAAATGTTCTAAATTGATTTGCATTTTAATGAGGGAAATAAGTATTTGACCCCCTCTCAATCAGAAAGATGTCTGGCTCCCAGGTGTCTTTTATACAGGTAACGAGCTGAGATTAGGAGCAAACTCTTAAAGGGAGTGCTCCTAATCTCAGCTTGTTACCTGTATAAAAGACAGCTGTCCACAGAAGCAATCAATCAGATTCCAAACTCTCCACCATGGCCAAGACCAAAAAGCTCTCCAAGGATGTCAGGGGCAAGATTGTAGACCTACACAAGGCTGAATGGGCTACAAGACCATTGCCAAGCAGCTTGGTAAGAAGGTGACAACAGTTGGTGCGATTATTTGCAAATGGAAGACACACAAAAGAACTCTCAAGCTCCCTCAGCCTGGGGCTCCATGCAAGATCTCACCTCGTGGAGTTGCAATGATCATGAGAACGGTGAGGAATCAGCCCAGAATTACACGGGAGGATCTTGTCAATGATCTCAAGGCAGCTGGGACCATAGTCACCAAGAAAACAATTGGAAACACACTACGCCGTGAAGGACTGAAATTCTGCAGTGCCTGCAAGGTCCCCCTGCTCAAGAAAGCACATATACATGCCCGTCTGAAGTTTGCCAATGAACATCTGAATGATTCAGAGGACAACTGGGTGAAAGTGTTGTGGTCAGATGAGACCAAAATGGAGCTCTTTGGCATCAACTTAACTCGCCGTGTTTGGAGGAGGAATGCTGCCTATGACCCCAAGAACACCATCCCCACCGTCAAACATGGAGGTGGAAACATTATGCTATGGGGGTGTTCTTCTGCTAAGGGGACAGGACAACTTCACCGCATCAAACGGACGATGGACGGGGCCATGTACCGTCAAATCTTGGGTGAGAACCTCCTTCCCTCAGCCAGGGCATTGAAAATGGGTCGTGGATGGGTATTCCAGCATGACAATGACTCAAAACACACGGCCAAGGCAACAAAGGAGTGGCTCAAGAAGAAGCACATTAAGGTCCTGGAGTGGTGTAGCCAGTCTCCAGACCTTAAGCCCATAGAATATCTGTGGAGGGAGCTGAAGGTTCGAGTTGCCAAACGTCAGCCTCAAAACCTTAATGACTTGGAGAAGATCTGCAAAGAGGAGTGGGGCAAAATCCGTCCTGAGATGTGTGCAAACCTGGTGGCCAACTACAAGAAACGTCTGACCTCTGTGATTGCCAACAAGGGTTTTGCTACCAAGTACTAAGTCATGTTTTGCAGAGTGGTCAAATACTTATTTCCCTCATTAAAATGCAAATCAATTTATAAATTTTTGACATGTTTTTCTGGATTTTGTTGTTGTTATTCTGTCTCTCACTGTTCAAATAAACCTACCATTGAAATTATAGACTGATCATTTCTTTGTCAGTGGGCAAACGTACAAAATCAGCAGGGGATCAAATACTTTTTTCCCTCACTGTATGCCGCAACACGAGTTTCGCCATCAGCTCGATTCCCGAGCCGTCATAATGTAGCGTTCTATTCCATTACAGCAATAACAGAAATTCAGTTAAATTAATTGGGCTGTAAATTAAAGTAAAATGGATAGTGATACGCGGTACACGTTTGTAGCAGGGGTTGTATCATTGTAAATACCCGCACGGTGCTCTGTGTTAATCTTTTTCTCCGAGTCCTTCGGTTTTTACACAATTTTATTTAACTCACTCTGTTGTTGTATCCTCAAATGTTGTAACGCAATTTTAACCCACTTCCCAATGTGGTATTGACTGCAAACTTAGTATACTTATATCATAGTGATGACAATACTATATTATATCAAAAAGATACGTATATTTAAGCAATCTTTTTTTCATATGTTATGTTTCGGCTTGGGTCTAATTGTCCACGGTAAACTAACGTTGGCTGTAAATCACCACGGTACCTTACGTTGTGGCCAGCTTCGGGGCCACTTCCTGGAGTCGTGGAGTTCTTCCATTACTAGTACGGTACATTTCATTAAAGCGTGTTTAAAAAAAAGTGTTTTTAAATATTACTTATTTTCCTCCACGTTTAGAAACGCGCGTTTACAGTATTTGACTACTGATATAAATTTCCACTTCGTTGAGCTAGCATTTGTGGCTAGGTCGCTTCTGAAAAAGAGCAACATAGCTCAGTGAGCCTTACCTGGTAAAAATAATATATACAGTATAGTTTAGTTTTATAGTTTAATATTCAGCTGTTTTAACTTGACTAACTTTTCACACGTATTATTTTCGTACTGTATTTTTTTACGTAAAAAAATATTTTAGACGGCTACAATTCTAACGTGTCCACAGAATACTATGACGACGATGATGATATCATGATGATGACGGTGCTGATGATACTATGATGATGATGATATCATGATGATGACGGTGCTGATGATACTATGACGATGATGATATCATGATGATGACGGTGCTGATGATACTATGATGATGATATCATGATGACGGTGCTGATGATACTATGATGATGATATCATGATGACGGTGCTGATGATACTATGATGATGATATCATGATGACGGTGCTGATGATACTATGATGATGATGATATGACGGTGCTGATGATACTATGATGATGATATCATGATGATGACGGTGCTGATGATACTATGATGATGATGCTAAACACCGACCACTAAGGGTGGGTTTAGGAGAAACGGTTCCCAGTCTGAACTTTGGACTGCAGCACATGTACTGCATCTCACCCAACACTTGTCCTCAAAGCTGGCCACGGCAGATTTGAACGGAAAACTTGATTCAATAGAAGGGTCTTTACTTCCACTGATGATTAGTATAGGGAATATCCAAGTCACTCACGACCTTTTGAGGTCCCAATTTAATGGCAGGTGGCCGCCGCAGTCAATTACGGATGAAGGGCATTCTAAGCCATTCAGCTCCCCAATGAGTAACATCCATGCCCTCATTCAGCAGTGGAATTGACAAAACGGGCTGTGCACGTTCAATAAATCGAATCTATGACGCGAGAGTGGGGGGCACCACTTCTGACGTAACATACTCTCCGAGGGGGGCGTGTGGGGGGTATGAGAGGGAAGCATT